CATTTGGGGGGAAAAACTGTTTTCCCTATGTTATGTTATGAAACTTTAATTATTACCCAATAAAATGAAATATCAAAGACAGGGTCATGTCGGTTAAATAGACGCCAAACACATCAAGCCGTAAAATTGTGTGCATTTGCGAAATTAAAAAAAAAAATGCCATACCCAAAACTGGCCATAGGTGACTCTTGAAAAGCTTTTGCCGCTCATCAGTTTAATGTTATCAGTGATTAATGGCCCTAAAATATGAAACAAGTGCAGCGCAATGGGCGCAATTGTTGTTTTCGAACTTATGCGCACCCGACGCATGTTTGCGTGTGTATGTGGGGGTGGGGGACTTCAAAAAAATTTTGTGTTGTTTTTTTCATGTGTAATTTTAATTTTTTGTGACTTTTTTTTTTTTACACTTAACTTTATTGTTATCACACAGGGGACTAAGAATCCCCCTATGTGATATCAAATTACAGTGACAGATCCTCTTTATGGAGACATTGTGTACTGATCTCCCTCCGATCTCCCTGCACAGAACCATTAAGCCGGTCCCGGGCCCACACCAGGTAAAGGCAGCACAGGGGGGCACACGGAGCAGCACCACATACAAGCTATCGGGGACTCTACAGCTGCTGGAACGCTTGTATGTAAACAGCCATCGCTGGCTGTTTCAAATTTTGACAGTTTGAGTGGCCAGGGGCACACGGACGTTTTAAAACACCCACCAGCATCTAGAAGGCTCCTGTCTGGCCGTTTTTATATATGGCCACTGGACGGGAACCGGTTATTAACAAATTCCCACAGCCAAAATCTTGTGGACAGCCTTCCCAGGAAAGACTGTTACGGCAAGAGAGGGGCCAACTCCATATTAATGCCCATGGTTTTAGAATGGGATGTCTAGCAAACTTATAAAAGGTGTAGTGCAGAGGCATAAATAGAAACCTCAGGGCCCCGATGCAAGAAACTATGAAACCCCCCTACTCCATATTTGCCAACACTTCATAAAGATTTCCAGGGACACCTGTTTTTGCTGTGTGTCAAGCAAGCCATTATAGGTGGAGAATATACTTTAATTAGGGGTGGGCCATTACTTTAAAATGGACGTGGTACTACAAGACATATCATTAACCTACTGTACAATTTCATTTTAAAATACTGCATATACAGGAAGACTAATCATAATCAGGACAGAACCCCAGTGAAGAAGCTATTGTACGTTAGTAAAAGTATTAACACATTTGTTTGTATAGATGCAACTTTTGGCCATCCAAACCCAAAATTTGAGCCGTGGTGGATCCTTTTCCAACAACGCGTTTCAACAAAAGTCGGATTTCAAAATTGAAGGAGCCAGGTGGAAAATGAGTCCCGCGCAGAGCCGGCGCTATTGTACAAACAACACAAGAAGCCGCCGGAGGAGCACAGACCCAGCAGCAGTCAAATGTCCTGAGATAGAGTTATGGAGCTCCGTCCAGTGTGATGTCAGCCCCGCCCCTCCCCCGCTTCTCTGTGTGCTGACTTTCCAGCTGCTGAGGTTGCAGTGTGTTCCTAGCTGTCAGCTCTGCAATGTCCCGTCTCCAGAGCGCTCATAGTAAGTCCTCCTGGCTGCTTTGTGTCCTGTATAGTCATCATGTGTCTTTGATCTCTCTCTGCCTCCTGTTCCCGAGCTGGGGTGTGTGTGGTCTCAGCATACACAGTACCTCAATATTCCGGAGTGGGG